CTATACGATACTACGTTAGTCTCCGTCATGCCCAAGCTCAGACCCACTTATTCTTCGACCAGTAAGTAATCAGAGCTTTCTACACTATCTACTTAGTGATTTCTGTCTTCGCGTCACAATAAGAACTGACGAATTGTTTGTTTCTGTTGTAAACATCCTTCCCCTAGCCATGTTGGAGGTAGGACTTTTTCCATCCAGTTTTTTTTCGTATACGTCATGTTTAGTCGTAACACGTAAATAAGTATGAAATTACACTTCCGTCATTATGACACTATGTATTCTGAACTACGTTATTTCCACGTGTATCAAAATAATACATTCTGTACTTTTAGATTTTGTACTACATTGTCATTTGGTTGACTATTCAAAATGGACTCACTAATCCAAAGTGTGAAGCGAACCCGAAACGGTCTTATGCCCTTGGTAACACTTGTTAAGACTTGGTAAGCGGAATAGAATTCATACTAATTTTGTTTAGGCGTCAACCAGCTTTAATGTGGGGTGCAAGTTTTGGTGTGTTAGCGGTCTATGTGATCGACTGGAAAGCTGTTTGTGCTCGTATCCCATTTTATAACCGCAAATTTGAGGAGTCAGCCAAATAGAATACATTTTGAATTGAATGCACCTTAAACGTGTCAGCATAATATTTCGAACTCTCCCCATTGTACACTAGCCAACACTGTAGTCCTCTGAAATATACTTTGTTTCAGAATAAATATTCGGTAGAAAATAATACTTTAAAACTTGTAGTTATATTATTTCACTGTTTGTTATTATCCGTTATTTTCTGTGTTTCTCAGTGATCTTCCAATTTTGTTATGGTTTTGCACTAGGCATTATTAGGAATAAAGTAGTTTGTATAAGGTGTACAACTCGGAAGTATTCCCGCCTAAATACGCTTAGTGGATTTACTTAACAACTTCATGCACATGCAAAATCTATGTAAATACAACAGTTTTGAGCATTTTTTAACTCCTTGGTGTGCGTCAGTGGCACAGCGGTTAGGACTCACCGATCGTGCACACGGTCTGGGTTTCGATCCCCTGCCAATGCACACCTGATATCAATGATCGGCCTGCAAAATTTGAGTTACATGCTGAAAATTCCATACTTGTACCAAAATATACGGTATGGAATCAAGCTATAATCAAAATAAAATAAATAAATAAAAATATAGCATTAAGTTTCATTAGACGTTGTCAATTTCAGCTTCTTATACAACGTCAGCAACCTAAGTTTCATATTGTTAGCGTGGTTAGACATATTTGTTGTGCAAGAAGTGTGAAAGAGAAACTTGTATACGTCTACATGATACTTCTCGAAAGATTTTCATAAATAAAAGACAAACCCTAAAATTAATGCATACAGCGACGATTAATAGTAACTTTAGTGACTAATAGTTTGTAAACATTGTGAGATATCCCTAACAAGTGGAAGTTATCAAAAACTTCAACATATCGTCATCGAGCATCAAATGTTCATCTTAGAAACCTCTTGGTTTCAAACATAGCATTCAGTGTTAGGTAGGTTCGTGCACTAGCAACCTAGTGAGGTGTTTAGCGCGCATGTAAAAATGGCTAGCATTTACGATGGGAGCCTGGAGGTAGCAATAGCATAACTATTGTGTGTACGATTTGAAGCCGTAAATTCATCTTACAAATGTAATCTTTTTGAATTCATTGCTAGTGGGGGAATACCATTACTAAAAACTGTGTCATATAATAGGCATCACATCAATGTTCACGTTTTTAGAATTTGCTTTGCAGGGTTTCTAACGCTTATTTCAAATATCGAATGGACTTAGTGTATATAAAAGCAAATTGTAAAAATAATAGAATGGTCGAGTAAGCCTACTGTTAAGACAGTAGATGTAAAGTAAGAAGCGTCTAACCAGCACGACTGTATTTAGTTCATCTATTCTTTTTGCGTTTAAGATGTTTTGTAGCCTTTCAGTATGTGTCTTCTTTCAAGCTTCTTCTTCCCTTGTTATTTTAGGGTTCACTGTTCAGTGAGGACTGGTTGCTTACTGGTCAGTATCTCCCTAAATCGAAATGTTACTTGATTCTTGTAGATTGCAAACTTTTTATGCTTGTTATTAGTATGTAAACATCTAGGTACAAGTTGCCTATAATGTGGGAATGATCAACTTCAGGCTAATCTTTCTTTAAACAGAGGTTGAGAGGGCGAAGCGTATAACTTCATAGTTTAAAATGAATAGTATAAGAAAGGTACTAGTTATTAGCATAAAACCTAGCGTTACTTCTGCATCTCAAGTAAATAAGAAAATTAATATAACCAGTTGTCAAATGCTGCCGATCCTTTATTAATGGAACGGGTTAGATAATATATACTCTAACCAATTTTATGGCAGTCTGTGAGCTGCAGAGGCTCTTGTCTATGGATAAAATTCTAGGGTTGTAACCACCTGTGAACAGACTACACATGGATGGTCTCGTAAACTCAGACATTTTCTGCACTCATTGTTTCATCCTAAGGTGCTGTCGTAGAAAATTGATGTTCGGTGTGTTCACAACTAACCTCTTCAAATTTTCCTCTTTATTCTTCAACATCTTTTCTTGATGTTGATGCTGTTTCCCATACATTTTTCAGCATACAATAACTTTGTAATCACTTCATGATTTGAGGCAGCAAACCCCATTGTTAGTCGGCTAAAATTGTTGACGACTTCACCTTATTACTTTTAGCATCCGGACCGTGCACCTAGTCGAAAAACAGCTAACCAACCAAAGCTTTTGCATGTCGGCGTAGAAATGCATGTTATATTTCTGAGATGTGAATAAGAGATGAAAGGTGATTCTTCACTGAACATCATTTAACCATAAACGTGAATCTGCATCACGTAATTCCACTGGTAGTCCTTATGAACTAGTTGATCTAAAGATACTGTTGAGGTCAATAGCAGAAAGTTTACTGCTAAACTTGATTTCAGTGGATAATTGCCTGTGCACTGATCAGCTAAATGGAGGGGTCGCCTTAATTGCTGGTGGCTTTTTGTAGTCTTAATTCGCACACCAATACGGCAAGCTGTAAGGTTATCTTCACTAAGCGCATTGCTGCGATAACTACAGGTAGTAGGTAGCGTCTGGGAATCAAAGGAAGTCCCATCGGGTTGGTGTAAGTCATTGGTTATCCCGACATATAAGAAGGGAGACAAGTCTTCCTGTTATAATCACAGGGGATTAGCTTGACTAATATGGTATCTAAATTTCTAGACTCAATAATCATGCGTAAACTAAGCGGTGCACGGGAGGAACAAACACGAGAGAACCAGGCAGGCTTTAAACCAGGGAGAGGGTGTATTGATCATATCTTCATCCTTCGACAGATTCTGGAGTATAGGCATACTTACCAGCGTCCAACAATCGTTAGATTTCTTGACCGAGAGGTGCTATGGTGGTGTTTGGCTATGAAGGTAATGCTGAGAAAATGCATTGCACTGATCAAGGCACTCTACTAGAACTCATGCAGCAAGGTGAGGGCTTGGCAGCGAGTTGTCCTCTGAACTGGTGACAACTAGTGGTGTCCGTCAGGCATGCCCTTTGTCCCATTGTGTCTAATTTCACCACTGATTTACTAATGAAATTAACACAAACTGACTTCAGCAACTCAGAGGTGACTTGTTACCATGAGAAAATAATCTCGTTGACTTTGAATATGCAGATGATATAGTCCTAGGTAAAGATGCTGACAAAGTGGAGGATCTTCTGAACACCTTGAGCTGCAACCTACGAATGTTTGGCATGCAATTCGCTGTCGCCAAATGTAAGATGATGTTACAGATCTGGACTACACTGACTCCTAGCTTAGAAATAGGGAGTGAAGTGGTGACTGGGCGTGCTGACCACTTTACGTATTTGGGAAGTTGCATCAGCCAACGCCAACGAAATTTCAGCACGGATACCGAAAGCTTGTTTCGCATAAGCCAGTTTACACCGTCTCTGGCGTAGACGTGATATCCGGCTATCGACCAAAGGGCATGCGTAATGCTCAGCAGTCCGCTCTGTCCTTTATGGCTGTGAGAACTGGTCATTGAGGGTGGAAAACATGAAAAGACTAGCTGTCTTTGATCATAGGTGCCTGCGTCCTATCTCCCGTGTGAAGTGGTATAATATGGTGAGCAATATTGAGATTAGGCGTCAGGTGCTGGGTAAGAAGGGGAAATCAATAGACGAGGCTGTGAAGTTACATCGACCAAGATGGTTAGGAAATGTGTTACGTATGCCTAGCTATCACCTTCCTCGACGGGCAATGTTAGCTGACATATGATCAGGTTGGAAAAGAGCCAGTGGTGGTCAAACCAAAACATGGCATCAATCAATGATATCCACAACAGTTAGTTTAAGCCACGTAAAAGCCAATATATGGAGATATGGCTCAAAATTGTTCTCAATGGCGCAGATGCATCCACTCCTTGTGACTTATAAATATCCACTAAAACTACGTTATCGTTAACACACTACCTTTTTCGAAGGTGAGCGAGGGGATTGACAGACTCTCATTAGTCTTGCTAAAGCACTTCATAATTCGTTGGTGCGAAGCAGGCGCGGTGATTTCAAGCTCTGATTTTTTAGTAACTTATGGAAGATAAACTAGCCATCAGTACATTAAAAACACGGAAGATACCCAGTATATCCATCAGCAGTCACTTATTCAAGCATTTTGAAAAGTCACCTCGTAGTGGCAAATTTTTACCGTTTGAATTTGAAGATACGAGTTTCGCAGCTCCAAAACTAGTGGTAAGATAATAAGCATTAAGAAATAAAATTTGTTCAGGCACATTTCGCCTGAAACAAATTGTAATATCCATAATGAAAAGTTAAATGAAGAAACTTGTCGACTTGTAAGAAAACATTTTTAGAAAAGAATATCTCTTTTATAAACTGGATATGCATAAATATATATAGGAAGGAAAGTTATCACAAGTGTTTTTTGGAGTCATATAAAACAATTTTGTGGAGAGTATGGGATAAAAAGATTCTTCATACAGCGGTTATCGTGAAGTCACGCATAGATTTGACAGATAAAATAAATGGTCCTTCTTGACCAGGTCGGTAAGTGGATACAACTATATTGTAAACACCTCCAGATAAACCAGCTTGCTCCAGAACGACATACCCCCTTCTATAAATAAATTTAAAATAAAAACAGATATATATGAACCACAACAAATGTTTGTCCACTCCATTATGGATAAGATTTTATTTTGATAAATCGCACAGTGTTATACAGTAATAGTTACTGATGACGTTTCGGGCACAAATTTTTGATCATAATCAAAGAAAGTTGTGTGAGTGCCTTGATATGATTATGAGCAATAATTTGTGCTTGAAACGTCATCAGTAAATATTACTGTATAACACTACGTGATATATCACAATAAAATCTTATCCATAATGGAGTTATACTCTACCACAGTGCCCAAGTTTTATACGTATATCAGCTGTTTGTCCACTAACAGTGTCGCTAGGAAAAAGAGCTTTTCCAGTAAATTCAGAATGTTTTAGATCTGTTGAGAATTGCTGGCTGGAAATCAACTACTAAATCACTAAGCATCATTGACACCTTCACTGTCCATTTGCGCTTCAGAATATGATCACCGCTTTACAAATTTCCTTAAGCTATTAAACTGTATCACATTGACCATCATTAGCTTTCATTGCTCGGTACTGAAGATCGGATGGCCAACCAGAAAGGATCAGCAACAAAGAACTGTTGCAGCTAGGCGACCAACTACTGCTCAACAGGTATGCAGAAGGAAATAGAGATGGGTTAGACATACGCTGACAAGATGTCTAACTGATATCAGCCTCTTGAGTGGAAGCCGGATGAGGGACGATGTGTTGGTCTTCCGATGATATGGAGAAAACCGTGTCACGGGGAAATAGAACCTTATGAGCAGTCGTGGGGCAGTTTGGGAATGACGATAGAGAACCGAATATAATACAGATGTGCCAACGAGGCCCAATGCTCCACTCGGCTCACAAGAAATGCATCATAACAATATGTGAACCAAGAACTAAGTTGTTATGATACAGATATTCCATTCTAAATTGATGGTTGAAGGCAAGGTACCTTGAATCTAGGTTTCGTGCTTGTTAACATTCGTCAGCAAGGCATATCTACAGTCCTAAAATAATTCGAGCCCTTTCTGGGATTCGAATGCGCGTCACTCAGAGCTGCAGTTGGAGACATTATCACTGAGCCATTCGGACTCGGGGGTGACCCAATGTACGACTGTAATCAATGCTTTGACTGAACATTAAGTAGTAACTGATATCACGCACCGATCTTTCGTTCTGTGCAAACTGAATTCTATCGGTCTAGTTTTGCAATGTGGCTAGCATGCTAGGTGACTCTCCACATATCCACTGGAGAATGGTTTGGCTAAAGGAGAGCAGACACAGTCGTATGATTACTCGCATTTCTGAGGTATATAGCGGGAAAAATAGCATAACTAGTGGCACAGAAAGGAAAAATAAAAAATGGCGGAAGGTTGTATTGTAGGAGTGTTTTTAAGGGCTTTAAACCATATCATGGAGGTCATCAACAACTTCCTCACACTTATATACTTATACTCTACCACAGTGCTCAAGTTTTATCCTTACACCATTTTATTCCTCTTAAGATCTCCAGTATGAGTAAACAAAAATGTTGAGCATGTATACCAATTGTATTTGTGACTAAAGAAAAAACCAAACTACAACCATTTAAACTATTGACTGCTGAGGCAGTTAAGTTTTAACTAAATTTGATTGGATAACCTGTGATCTCATACCTCTTAGATGAATCAAAGTAGTTATGTAACCATTGAGACTGGCTATATTTCTCGAATGCAGGCAGTGTATATCATATTAATGAGCTTTTGTCGAATAAAGTTGTTATTCTCACTAACACAGACCAGTCTTGTCTTCTGATTTTCCCGTGGGCTTAGGGCAGCAGAAGGTATTACAGAGAGCATGATCGTATTCGGTTTTCGATCGAATTGCCTGTTGGATGTCAGTATCCAACCCAAACCAGCCAGTACAATTCTTTATCTCATTATTACTTAACTGAATTAATTCCTTCTCAGAAACTAGCAGTAATACTCGTCAACTGATTTCCACTACTTTCGACAATACATGCATGATAGTGGATATTTTTATGGATTATTATTTTCCACCCGCACATCTCATTATAGGTTAATTGCATTTGATTTTTTCTACCCTTATACGTCCGTTTATGAAGTATAACAACTTGAACTGATATACTTTTACGCAAAGCGTGATGTTGAAAATTCACTTCAGTTTCATATGAATGTGGTACATGTAACACTTCTACTAGCTTTCCTTTAATGTTAACTTGGTCTACAAGACGTGCGTCGGTGGTTCAAAGGAAGAAGCTCGCCGACCACTTAAATGGTGTGGGTTGAACTCTCGGCCTGCACACTCTTAAATGTCACTTGGCCGATAGTAAGTATTATGTGAAGACGAAAGGTTGAACATGAGGCCAGCAACCTCACCCAGTGAAAACGAGGCAACTGCTACTGAAACTTCAAAGCTCAAGCTTTTTGTTCCACTCGGGATACAGCTAAGTATTAAACTATTTCTTTTTAAAAAAACCCATATATTTCACACAGTAGTGCATTAAGAAAAATCACATCACCTATTTTACCGAGTCAGAAGTGTTCATGACTGAAGCGGTAAGCAATTAAAGTCACAGACAAGAGATCACAGTTGGGAGGAAAACCAAAAAAAAATATTTTATAAGCTAACTATCATGACATAATTAGTAAGCTACTTATTATCATCATCATCCAAGTTAGCCAATTTAATTTAAAGTCATATGCGAATGAATTCAACTTGTTTTTGTTTCTAAAAAAATCGATCAACTCATCTTATGTAAATACCAAAAGCCAATAGAACAGGAAAGTGTTAGGGTAGAAATTCGGCCTGTTAAATGACCTGTGTAATGATTAAACCCTTAATAGAAGTGAGATACGTAAACCGGTAACAAAGAGCTAACATCTAGAACTAACTGTAACAAGTAGAGTGTTGATACAACGCTGCAATGGAGATATAGTTCATTGGTTAGACAGCCCGCTTCACAGACGCTTCATCTACTTTAGCCTGTGAAACTGCGATGTATTTTTAAAAATTATAACTTGATTCCACATAGTATTTTGGTACAAGTATGGAATCTTCAACATGTGATACCGGTAGCCCAAATTTAGCAGGCCGACCATTGATATCAGGTGTGTGTCGGACGAGGGTCGAACCACGGACTATGTACATGGTCGACGAGAGTCCTAACGGCTTTGCCACCGACGCACTGTGATAAATGATGCGTATGACTCCTAGTGTAACAACAGAAGACAAGGGCCAGGCAACAGATCAGTTTTATTACGAAAACCAACAGGTATTTATATGTATTTTACGTACATTAATAAGGCTCTGCCCGCAGAAAGAAGGCGGTCTTCTGATTGGTTGTTTGCAAACAAACGCAGTCTTCTGCTTTCTCGTTTTCGATATTTCTCGGAAATGCGAGCCACTTGTCTGCGAATCATATTTGTCCACGTCTAGGTCAGCTGTGATCGGTTGTTGAATCAGCCTAGATTAATTTCCACCAATCAGCGTAGATCAATGTCTACCAATTGGCTAGCAGCTTGCTCTCACCACACTAGCTGCCTGGTACATGAAAGACATGCTCCGGGCAACTGAGTTCAAACTAACAATATAACGTTACAATAAAACTTTATTGATTAGGTCTAATATGTATACTGGATTAAATTACAGAAACAATATGCTCTCTATCTATACACTATACTGTTCACGTGTTAGGGGAAACAACGCGTCTGGAATTCCACTGCCAGTCACCACCAAAAAAGTAACTTGACTTTCACCATGTGATATGTTCTTAACATCCAGTAAGTAACACTGTTTAGTATATTTACCAAGCCAGTTATCATGTAATTATTGTTTACACACAATAATTATCATGATGTCTAATATAACCTCGTTAGTAAATTTCGCTTACCTGTAATCTCCAGTAGTCAGTCGTTCCTGATGGTTAGGTGCCTGATCATTTGTAGCAGATATACGAATCAGTTCAATACCCAAGGCATAATCTCTACAAGATATCACCAACATTGACAGTAGTACCGTGATAACAAAAACATTTTTTTTAAATAACGAAGTTGTTATTTAAGAGTAAATGAAAATGATATCTACAAAACACGTCAAACTAGACAACCTGATTACTGATTAACTGACATTATGAATTCCAACAACATATTAGGTGTACCATGTTATCACCAAGTTATCTAGAACTGACTGAGATTTTTAAGTCATTACATTCATAAAACTTGTTGTACTGTATAGATCCGAATGTTGAGCTGTATTACACGATGGATGACTGTTACTTAGACGTTGTACTTAAGTATCTCAATGACCTAACGATATACACCAGCAGTAATGATTATTTCTAGAGGTTGTACCATGTCAATAAGGTAGACTGGGTAGCGGTATTGGTAGTATTGTAACGGCAGAACACAAGAGTATTTGGTAAGGCGATTATTTATTGGCATCTAGTGCAAGGATATGGGCAAAATACATCAACCATATATTGATATTATGTGTTGCACGTATCTTCGGTATTGTACTACCTTTGACTTCTTTTCAGATTTTCTATGTTGTCGTCGTTAATTTCTTCTCTTCACCACTAAATCCATCTCTCAGCTATTCGATATTCTTACAGGTGGTACACATACTTCTGTGTGCATCAATATACTACTTATAAATCTTGTCAGTAGCAAACGCCACAGCAGTAGTAAGCGTGGTGAGCTTAAAGTTGTATTCCATGTGTGAAGACATTTCCCCTGGAAAATAATCAATTCAGTTAGGGAGTCTTCACATTTATTATTATTATTCAAGCACAAATCTGGTACATTATGGGAACCAATAGATGCACCCCACAAAATCCCATAGTTTGCGCAAGGGATTGGATATTTCCCTGATGCCCAGACCAAAGCTAGTGATTGTTTTGAGGGACCACCGCACGCCACCGAGCCTTTGAGTTGAGGTCCTATCTACAAGGCAGCAGAGCCTCATTCCCATATCTTTTGGTGAATCTTTTGAACGAGCGCTACTAAGATCATCAAGCATTTCTGATGCATTTTTATGCATTTAACTCTGAAGCCAACTGCCTAAATATGACAATCAAACAATATTCACTGTCTCAAGGACTAGAAATACTTGTTGATTGAAACTAGTGTAGACAAGAGTATGCTTTTACATTAGTCGCACAAAGGCTATAGCAAATAATAAATTTGACCAACTTAGCACTAATCAAATCTGCAAGTAGGCTTTCGCGGTCCAAAGGTAAAATGCTCGCCAACCAACCGGGTTGCATTCCCCGCTGATACACTCTTAAACTGGCTGGTGGTAAGCTAAGAAGAGAGAGAAGGTTGGCTGCGAGCCAAACAACACCACTTCTACTGAAATTTCAAAGCTTAAGGCCGGAGGATGACAAAAGTATCAGTATACACAGTTTCATTAGCTGTTTCCAAATGGTGTAAGGTGACTGCATTTCAGGATGCAGATGTTAGAGTGAAAAAGTGTTATTCAAGTTACATTAGTGTAGAAGACTTGACTCAACTGTTTTGGTGGGTCGTGTTTTAAACCATGAGGACTTTGAAAACACCTTTTGTGCAAAATATTAAAGAATAAAGTTGGCTAAGTACTCTACACAAACTGAATTCCGTTCGTATGGAAATAAATGGAAACCCAAAAGCTGTTAAACTGAACGTGGGCATAAGGGACAGAGGGAGAAGATGATGTGTTGTAATTCACCTTATGCATTTTCCAACTATCGATGCGAAAAAAAGTGGTTTCATATTTCCGGGTAGTTACATTAAAGTCTCACAGAACCAAATTTCGGTCTTGAAGTCTATTGTGTCGAAATTTGCGAACGCTTTTGGTCGGATGTATTACGTCCTTAGGAAATACAATAAGAATGACTGCCTTCACATGGCTGCTGGTAATGGCTAGAAGTGGAATCCAAGACACACATTTGGCTTTAAATAGAATTCGACAGCTAGAAGTACTTGTATCCCCCAGCGAGTGGTGCTGTTCACATTGATATTTGAAATCATTTTAAAAATAAATTCAACTAATACTGAACGACTGATTGTTTTTATTGGAAAATTCAAATTACCTGGGTCCACGTAATTCAATGAGTATTTGATTATCAAAGTCATTGTTTAGCAATTCAAGTTTAAATCGTGGATTAATTTTATACTTTTCTTTATCATTAATGCAACCACCAGCGTTTAAAATGTTCCATTCACCTGTAATCTGATACATAATAAAGTGAATACACATATGCGTTCATATACATAAATGAAACCGAAATTCAAATTTTAGAAATATGTCTATGACGTAATAAAAAAATGAGACAACTTTATGCCGCATGTTGCACAAATTCAAAAATATACGAGGGCGAAGCAACAAGCCGACAGGAGAGGTAGCGAAAACACAACTTCAAAGTAAGCATAGAGATGGAGATGATAGATATACCTAACCAACAACAGGCATTAAACACCGCCAATGAGATAAATCTAAGGGGAGTCGTTTCTCTCACCTACCCCCTAGACAGCATCGTTTCAACAATAGTGGCATGGATAAAGATGTTAAAGCCAGCCAGAATCGAAAAAGCAACATAGACAATTGTTATTTTGAAATCCATATGGAAATCTGCGACAATTATTACAAGGACAAGCGTCCAAATTTTCAACGAAGATGTCAAGTCAGTGCCTCTATATGGGTTCGGAGGCTTGGTCTGTCATAAAAATCACTTCCAACAGGTACCAGAGTTTTATCAACAGTTACCTTCGGTCGATATTGAGGTTCAGAAGGAAATGCGGATGAATTAAATATACGCCGACTAGACCATCAAGTGAAATCACGATGCGCCAGACCCTCGAGTGGGAAGCAACGAGTCGGGACTCTTAGAATGACATGAAGCAGATCATGTCAGAAGGAAATGAAAACGTATGAGCAAACGTGAAGGCAGCTGAAAGTGCTGCAGACGATTGAGTGCAACTAAGATGTGCCCCGTGAGACCTTATATCTCATTCGTGACGCGAGGAATGAATAATAATAAAAGATGAGTAAGAAAACCAAACAAATCTAAGCAGGCACATAAATAAACTTGTTCGTTCCATTTTTTCAACGTTTATAAAGAATATAGAACAGGAAGTTTCTGTAAAAATAACATAACTATTGATACACTGACTAAAGAGGGACACACAGTCATTGTAAAACACCTTGTACAAAGTGTAGTAGTTCACTAATAGTAAGTGTCGAAGAAGCACATAAAAACAGAACACAACAGGCAATACATGATAACATAATTGATAAATATGTATGAAAGAGAACTTAATGAATATTACTGCATATAGTTAGAATTTTGAAGGTGATAATAAGGTGTGAGTACATCCAGACCAATTCACTAAGAAAACTCAAAAACAGATTTTTAAAGTTACAAAACCTTCAACCGAGCAAGTCAAATCTCTGTAGATTACTCATGAATACAATCAACCATTCTAACTACGCTTTTGTACTTCCTTCAATTCACAAGGACTAATGTTTTGTGTGGTTTGATCTACTGACAGAGAAGACATTGACAACGAAGGTCTCTTTTCCATTATGGATAAGATTTTATTTTGATAAATCACACAGTGTTGTACAGTAATATTAACTGATGACGTTTCGAGCATAAACTATTGCTCATAATCATATCAAGTTACTCACACAACTTTTCCCTTCATTTATATACATGTGTGGAATCGATTAGATAATGGAATAAAATTCAATATGAGATAATGTACATTCAAGAATAATAATACGAGTGTTATTGATCAAGGTCTTTGTTATCTTGGAAGTGATGAGTGAATTTAGCCGAAATTCAGATTTGTAATTTGACGCTTTTAGAGCTACTTTCGAGTAGCTCTCGAAATATAAGAGGAAGACATCTTATAGAGTAGGAAGAGTATGAAAAATATAATCTTGTGGACTTTAATTTTAGGCTTATAGTCTCGTTAGGACTTAATTATTCAGAAGAGATTTCTCATGTGAGCTAAATTTATTGTATAAGAGCTGATGATACAATTCAATTACCCAGTCTGAAGTAAATGGAGCATGAACTCGAACTTGGGATCTATTGGACAAAAATTAACTTCCTCATCCAATGAACCATATATCACCACCCAAAGGTCCTTAAAGTAGATGAATTTATAACTTCTTGTTGGAATTTAGTAATCCATCAAGATTAAATAAGTTGTGGAGCACATTAGAATAATTAATAATAATAACTTTTAAACAAAATCATCTATTGAATGAGGACAATACTCAGGTGAGTTTTAAGTGTGCACAATTTGTTACCATTGTTACATTACTCAAAAATATTTAACATAGTTTTTTTTCTGACTAAATATCACAATCAATAAGAGTATGGCGTGTTCATTTGCACGTACACACACACACATACACCTTAATCTTAAGCACATTTCTCTTACTCAAAATAACGGTTATTAAATTAACTAATAGGATAAGAAGAATCCTATGAATGACAGAAAGCAATCGATTAGTGTATTGAATTCATTAAGAAGACATCTTTAAAAGGTATCAAATGTCATATGATAATATAAACATTCAGTTGTGTTGTTTTTTAAATGTGAAATGTTTTTCGTGATTATGGTTGCATTAGATTTTGAAAGGTCTTAGTTATTAAAAATACTACTTAAAATAGGCTATTTAAGTTGTAAATACTCAATGTTTTAGTAGTAATTGTAGTGAAAAGAACAAGACTGACGAGGGCAAGTCTAATATTTACATTGATTGGTTGACAAAGAGAGAGTACTGTCATGTGTCTAGTCCTTGGAGTCGGTGCAGGCTGAATTCTGAGTCAACTTTGTGACGTGGTCACCGCCAAACTAGGTGGCTCGTCATCAAGGTGCACTCTGAATTGATGTTAGGTGGTTGGAATCGATAGGCAAGAAGTCCTAGACGGAAGCTTCGTAATTGTTAGCACTCATCTGCGAAATTAAAAGGAATTATGTTCTCTCTGAGATTCGAACCCGCATTACCACCCAGTACTGCTAGTTAGAGACGTTACTACTAATCTATTTAGATTCACGACTGACCTTTTGTAGGACTGCATTACATACATATAGTGTATAATCAGGCAAAATGCAATAAACATTAAGAAAACGGTAAATCCTGCATTGATTTTACTATTTGGCAATAATATCATCCGTTCTGTGTTGGAGATATTTTTTCTTTGTCAGTACATATCAGCGTAGTAACTCTGTTCCCATGTTTCTTTTTCAATGAGTTTTCCAAAGACGCTACTCTTCATACTACTTATATCTATTTATTAGCAAGTAGTACACAATGCAATAATGAATAACACGGTGAGTATACATACGTTTGACCAAGTAATCATATACATTTTAAAGGTATAGTTTATAAATTAGTTAAATTGGTGTATATTTTAATAAATATGATTTTTACAGATATCTGTTACCTAGTTACTTATACAAATAGGATGATGTAACTGATTACTTAGTGCATCGGTGATATAGCGGTTAGGACTCTCGCCGACCATGCATATGGTCCGGGGTTCGATCCCCGGCCGACGCACTCCTTTACCTCGCTAAGCCAGAAATAATACTGGTGAAGAGGAAAGGGTTGGGCATGAGGCTAGCAACCCCATCCTGTAGAAACAAACACTGTTACAGAAACTTCAAGCCTCTAGCCTGAAGCCCTATGTTCCACTGGGGAACGTGAAGGAAAAAAACTGATTACTTACTTGTTTCGATATTGTATAAGGATCTATAATTTTCGATAGTTTAAACGGAGCAGTCGAATAAACACGAAGTGTATAAAAAATTGTATTCGACTTTTCATATTGTGAAATCAGCAAAACGTAATTACAAGTGCCAGGATCTTGCAGCATTTTGACTAAACAATGCGGACTATTGATACGTACAGAATCACGATGTGGTTCAGGATCATAAGGATAGTAGACTTTACGGGATTTAACATCTTTATACACAACAACTGCAATAAATTCTTTATTCTCTGCAAAATCTGCCTGAAATATGAGTGAAACATAATAAAGGATTGTTGGTGAACATTTTATAGACATAAAGGCATATATGGAGTTACAAACCAACATGAGACCAGAAATCTCATGGTGTAGATCCGTAACATAATGAGGATTAGAGGTAAAAGTTAACAATCCCAACAAGCTGTTCATTCTAACTTCTATCAATTCATTAATTTAATGGCTACCGCCAGCTAGTGTCATCTGTGTGCATTTGACTTCACACCTAACCTGGTGGACAGGCCAGCGGATTTCATCCCAGTGACTGAACAGTCAATGAGATCGCCTCTTAACCTGAAGTTCCTGGGTTCGGTCCTTAGTGGGGTGATGAGAGCGTACCGATAAAGGAACCCAAACTAGGACGAAAAAGCTACCCAGTACTCCCTGGTTCTTAATGGTTCTCCAATTGATATCAATCGGTGATCAAATCTGAATGCAGTCAAATCCCTACAAAATAACACATGAGAACATAAAGTAGTGTAGAATATTTATACCTCAGGATATTCGTATTTTGGTTGATACGTTTTACCGGCTTGGTAATCCTAGAGCTGAGCTTCCAATGACTACCTAGTGTTGTCATTGTAAGTGAAACGTTAAAGTAACTACAATGCTAATTCATTCTTTACAATAATGAAACTTTTACTGCGGCAGCCTGCTTAAAACGTAGGCTACCAAAAATCTCCGTCACGATATCTCATACAATTTTTCCTGTTCGCCTTGTTTTGATCTATTAAAATATGACTCCTAGTGGTATTTTTAACCCTCGTGAGTACTTAAAAAATTTACAATCTGCAGATTCTCCAGTTCCTACTCAACTTCAGAAAAAGCAAAATTGTGGGTGGCAGCGTATTCTCATTATCTGAGATAACTGTTCCTGGAATTTTTAGTACAAATGGTCACTGCTAGAGATATAAAACTATCTATAGTCTTCAATTATGTTTTTGGATCTCAAAATGTAATGATTCCGTTTTTTAATTGGCCTTCAGCCAAATGTTGTGAATTTCGCGAAGAAGATAAAGATATTTCAAAAGGGATTGGTTTGCGTCTCAGTTCAGACAGCATTGTGTCGCGCGATCTAAACATCCACGACAAAGAGTCACTATTATGCAATAGATTCCGCTGAAAATTGTGTAGGTTGTATGAACAATATTCAGAATAAAGTCATTATAACTATGTTTACGACAGTCTAAATTGGTTTCAATCTGTCGGATTTCAGTCCCCAGAAAGATTCAAAGTTGCTTTGTTCAACAAAGAAAATGGATGAGATTTTATCTGGTGACCGACAGTGGAATCCAGGATGTACATTTTGCTTTGTTCGAGACTCATCAACTAGATGTACCTGCAATTCCCAGTGAGTGGCAGTGTTCCCACTGAGGCTTGAACACAGCATCCTTTGCTTTAAACGCTAAAGCGCTATCCACTTGGGTCACGGGAACAACATTTTGTGCAACGGGTGTGAGTTATCATTTCAGTTAGATCAATTTCGACGTTTGACTCTCAGTGGGAACATTATCACTCACTGGGGATTACATTTACATTCAGCTGACGACTCCCAAACGGGGAGAAGTTCGCATCTTAGATTCCACTGCTAGTCCCCATCCATCAAATAACATCACTGTTAGTACTCAAACATCGTCAAAGCATCCGTACAGGGAGGCGACACGTAAACAAGAAGCCGAATAATTCGATTCAATCAATCAGTGGGGAAAACAAAACTAACTTGAACAAAATAGGCAGAGATTTGCCTGAATTATTGCAAGATACAGTCACGAAACCTTATTAGAAAAGTATTTATTCACAGAGACCATCTTTGATTGCATTTAATAAGTGTAGAAAACAGTCTTTTTGAAGTGATGAATACATATCACACAAAGTGATAATGTTAATCAAATGTTGGCAAAATTCTGAACATCCTTCGTCTTTTTGATACTGATTAACTAACAGTTACAATTCAGAATGACAGATAACTCAAGAAATGGTTGAACAACAATATTGGTTACTGATTTCTGATTTCATTTATACACCCTTCAACACTCCATTATGGATAAGATTTTATTTTGATAAATCACACAGTGTTGTACAGTAATATTAACTGATGACGTTTCGAGCATAAACTATTGCTCATAAACACATCAAGTTCAACACTTAAAAAAAATTCAGATCGCTTCTTTGAAAAAAAATTCTAACCACACCGTTGAGTAAGGAAACGTTAGAAATATTTTCTTTCACATATTTTAATATCTGGGCAAATATATACCTAACTCAACGTAAATAACATTTCATTTGGAGTCTAAAATATGGAACTTCAGTTTATCATAATCTTAGGTCATGCGGTAGACCGTGAGGAACGAGAAGATATGTATACGTTGAACCGACAGAAGACTCTAGAAGATTTGGATTTCGTGGATGATGTCTGGTGTCACACAACCTCGAAAATATACAAGCGAACACTAAAAAGTTGGCAGAAGCAGCAAAGACAAAAATACAAGTGAACACATTGGGCAGAGAGAGGTGATGAAAAAACTTGACCAACAACAACAGGCACTGATCACTCACTATCCATGGGATAAACTTGAAGAAATTCACTTCTTTCGCTTATCTAGACAACATCGTTCCATCTACAAGAGACGACTATAAGGATGTCGAAACCAGACAGAGCCAAAAAGGCAAGAAAGACCTTTATTAGTCTAAAATCACAGAGGAAATCTTCTCCACTCAACATGAAGAACTAGATTCTCATATTTAACACTAATGCTGTCAAGTCAGTGCTTCTGTGTGATTCAAGAACTTGGCACGTCACGAAAAACATTTTCATCAGGCTACTGCAGAGTTTTGTCAACAGCTGCCTTCTCTCAATACTAAAAATCAGTAGGCCAGTCGGAAAGGATAAGTAACAAGGACCTTTAACAGCTAAACGACCAAGAACCTATTGCCTAACAAGTATGCCAAAGAAAATAAAGATGGATTGAACACGCAGTGTGGAGATCGTTGAGTGATATCACGTACCCTCCCGTCTAGTAGAACCCAAATGGGAAATGAAAAGTTGGGCATCCACGAGTGACGTGGAGGAGATCATGTGAGGAGGAGATGAGAACCTATGGGCAATAGTAGAGTCACCTGAAAAAGACTGAGGAAACAGGATGAAACGGAGATGTGCTGTTGAAGCCCTATGTAACAACCGGAACCCAAGGGAATAGTAATATAACAATAATGTTGATTAGAGATAGTTACTGATGGAAATTTCGTAGAGTTGTGGAAAAAGAGCTATCAAGAGAAAAGATTCACTCGCCATAATCATCTCTGACTTACCTTATCTACAATATGCCTTGTTAAGAGGATCCAAATAGGCGATTCAACTTTAGCGGTAACTTCAAGGGTGTATTGTGGATTCTCAGCACTTGCATAGGAATCTTTCTTCGGGCCAGATCCAGCCAACCAACAACTAATAATAGTAAGCAAGAAAAAAGAGAAGCTGTAATAATCGAATTTAACAGCTACTAACTGATTAAATAAGATAGCAGGATATCATTACCACAATCTACTGAAAGCACAAGATTATATTAACAAAGATGAAGAAGAGTATGGATTTTGCGATTTTGCAATAATTTCTATGCCGATTTTGTCAGGAACCAACATCAGTTAGAGAGTCCAAAATATCAATTTCCAACTCATTAGTGGTTACTGGATGAATATCCTGAAGTCTTGGTCAGTGGGGTGAACTTTTAAACGTACAGTGCTCATCAATGGCGTTGATTGGTGGTAACGCCATATCACGGATTGACAGAAGTTAGAGTTCGTTGAATTCCGACACAGTAGCCTCGAAACCTTTGACTCCATTTCGATCCCTAGTGGTATCATGGGTGCGTGCTGTCCAAGAGTTCGAAACTAGGAAGAAACAACTATCCATTGCTTTCTGGTTTTCACTGATTTTTTTAACTGATATTGATTTGTGACGAAATCTATAATGAAACAAAATTAAGGAAGTATTGAATATCTCTTAAGATTAACAAATGATTTCTTCCAAACAGGTGATAGGCAAGAAGCAACGCTAGTCTCGCGTTTTATGCATTTTAGTAAATGTCAAATCTAAGCCCAGCTGGTATTATTGGAAAAACTTACGTTTTTTCAGAAATTCAAAAAAGAGTTAATTACAGGCAAAATCAAATACAGTGAAACTGATCCAAGTAGCTTACATTGACCATCTGTAGAAGACTGTAACGACTGTACGCACTTAGGTATCCAGTGCTTTTAATTAACTGTAGTCCGCACAACAAACACTAATTATTAGTGGTTAGCCTATCATTTAAATTAACATATATAAATAAAGTTGATGAATAATACTAATACAATGCACTGTCAAATCGATTCGACAGAATTCTGAAGCCAGCACAGCTATCGTATATATTCATTCTCAAACGAACGTATGTACAGTACATGACTTCCAACATAAAATGTGATTGATAAGAATATATCAAATGTGACAGGTAAAGACTTACAACACCAGAAATGGTATTCCAAAATTTATTAGGATAACTGTTCTAAAAGTGTCTTATGTCCACCATAAATAAAACTATAGCACCAGTAGATTTAAATATATCACAGCTGTTAACTGAAGACATCCGAAGAAATTAGCTTCAGACATGAGACAAAGAACAAATGATTTTAATATGTAGCAGAGGAGTTGAAATTAGCTACATTTAACCTCAATATACTGATAGCAAAGCAAACAAGAATGGAATGTAAAATAAAACAGAATAAGTTCTTGTATAAAAAAAATATGTACTACAGATTAATTGAGATGAGTAGTTGTATACCACTCACATCAACCAGATCAGCCAGATCAAAGTGCTATAAACACCAGAAAGCCATTTCGCCTATTTGGCGCCGAGCTCATCAGTGGTGTACCCAGTTTGACTAAGATCAAAGAACTAAATCAGTCTAAGCACGCGACTTCTGGCTACGGACACAAAATCTGAAGAAAACGTTGTAATTTTCGCGCGTATTACAACTTACACGCAGATATCAAAAGTATTCAACTTACTCATTAACACATGTAGTATACTGAAATAGCTCAGGATCCCAATTGATATAAAAGACATCAAAAAAATGGCATAATGAATCATAATCTATCCAGAAGACACCATTATCAATTAATTGAGCAGATGATCTATCAAAATTCAATTTAGCCTGCATACTTTCAGTCCAGTGTTGAGAATCACGTTCTGAGAAATTGCCTTTCCAACGCATATGACTCCAGGGATTTTTTAATAAGAATAAACGATAACCCTTTAGTATGTATTACATTGTTATACCGAGGAAATAAAAAAAAAAGAATGAGGATGACAAAAGATTCTTTTAAACATCAACAAAACACTTTGGAAAAAAATTAAAAACACACCCAGGTAAAACGGACATATGATGTCATTTCCTGTGTACTTACTTCAGGTATAGCATAACTATCAACATAGGTGTGTGCACACATGAAATTATCTAGAAAAAAAGTGACTTGTTAATTTAATTATACACATAACTTTTGGTGAAAAGGGAATGGAAAAATGGAGACCACGGGTTGCTTTTCAAAATGTCACATGTTCAGTTGACATCATCATCATCAGAAGTATTACCATTAGTGTGTACTTTTAGACTAATTTTATAACAGTAGGCTTCACGTTTTTTTGATATAAATATAATTATTTACCAAATATAGAAAGTCACTAGCGGAAAAAATGTATATTTATTGATTACAGGAATACAAGATCATATAGTAGTAGATATCCGTAGAATTTGAAACGATGAATTTCACATTTGCACATATTTGCAAACAAAAAGCAAATAATATTTTCTGAGAAAATCTCGTCTAGTTCAATAGTTTTCTAGCCGGTCCTGTACCTGAAACAAAGTGGGAATGCTGAAGCGTGGGGCTAGCGACCCTACTTCAGAAAGTCACTCTAATCGCCACTACAACTTCAAAGGACAACAGAGATAATGATACTTTCTGCAGAAGTTTGAATCCTATCAACTATGACACAACAGATAATTGAAGTTAATAATATAAGTGAATGAGAAGGTTAGCAAATCTCCAGAGACAACCACTGACGTTCAAGATCATCATAAGAGACTGTCATTACATACTCATGCAAAATTTTAAAAACTAGCTTCAGACTGAAATTAGTACTGAAGACGGTGTCTACTCAAGGATAACGAAAGCTTTCAGCTTAGAGAACAACACAGCTACAACAATATCAGCTACCTGAATTACACATCGTTATTTCTGAAGTTCATAACATTCATCAAGTAAAACTACATTTCAGAGTGATATGATTACTGATAGTTTGTTGCTACTGAATAATGTACGGAAAGATATTTCTTCTAGACCTAAGGATAATAAACACATTATAATTTGGGATAGAGGGTTAATTGAAATGACTTTATGCTGAGACTAGTGGGAAGGTAGTAGTTTACACTGCAAAACTCTTTGATGATGTCTGAGCATTAACACTGATGTTATTTTAGTGGGTGGTGACCAGCAATGGAGTCCAAGACACCCACTTCGTCCTATTCGGGACTCAAGCGCACCTGTAATCATGAGTGAGTGATGGCGTTCCCATTGACATTCGAACACTGTCGACATGTCAGTAGAAGCCGAACATCTCTGTTCAATCAGTCAACGGGAAAAACAAAATGGTAACTTATCCCTGTTGTACAGCAGGTGATTTTCGTGACCTAAATAGTCTAGTGGATAACGTTTTAGAGTTTGAAATGAAGGGTGCTGGGTTTGAGTCTCATTGGGAACAGTTTCACTCAGTCGCTGAGTCCCAAGTAGGGCGAAATGTGCATCCTGGATTCCGCTGCTAGTCACAATCTACCGAATAAGACAACTAAAATTGAATGAGTGACCGGAAATTCGTAAGCCTAATATATCACTGTGTCAAATATTAGAGGGATGGATTTCTTCTTTATTTCCGCCTAGAAATTTATTTCCCTAGTTCTACATTCAGCTTGGAGATAGCTTGATGAATACATAATTATCTGTTTAATGTGATATCAGACTTATATCTTTTATCAGATTTACTCAAAATAGACAGATAAATCCCTACATTTACTGTCCTTAAAAGTTGAAGTTTTCTTCTAGCATACTGCCTTCGAACTATTTATTTTATTATGGAATTGATGAAACTGTGTAACTATAATTGTAGGCCAAATAGTCACTTAATATTTATCGTCTTTACAGTTGTTTTACTAAACAGATATTATTACTCGACTACAGAAGAGTTATATTCTAATTAAGTAGTTAGTTGTCAAAGCTGTAGGATCAAAGTACTATTTTTTAAACAATGACACACAGGCGACCTGATTAAATCACTGGGCTGCCGAAATTCCCATTCAGTACAATGCATACACTCTTCTCCATTTCCTACTGTTTTAATCATCTAATTATATTTCTGGATCAGTAGATAAACTTGCACACATTTTTGGCTTGTTGTCAACGTAAAACGAAGCACTTCTCAAATGAAAATGAGGGAAAAATACCAGAGGATTGGATACTACTTCAGATGAAACAACACAGTCTCAGATGGTCTACTGCCGAACATCATTTCACTTTATGATCTTCCAGGAAGAGTAGACATTTTGCAATTTAAATAGGCCAAGAATTCTGTACTATGTGTTAGTATACTGTCTAGACTAAAGCTGTTATTATTACTACATTATTATTATGTGCAAATTTCATCTGAATAGTTAGTTTCCAATGGATAGCCATCGTCTGAACCTTTTAATCGAGCTTGTATTTTGTATTCTAACTAGTTTAAGTGAATCTGTTAGTCTTTGTCGACAAGTGTCTTCAGTTGATTGTCACTGTACACAAAGCGTTAGTCCGGCAAATAGAATACACAGTCTAATGAAACATGCCTATAGTACTGCTATTGAAAAAGGTACATCAGTGATAGTTCAAAGAAACCTTAAAACAGCTTAGCATTCCTGCATTACAGACCTCACAGGAAATATAATAAGGTAACTCAAAAAATCTTGTGAAAAATCGAACAAAATAGCCCAGATTTTAAAGTGCTCGAGTGAACGTGCATTTCAAGCGCCAAGATCATTTATAATTAAAGTGTGGATTAACATTGATGATTAGCCAATAATGACACAGAAATATAACGATGATTGATTCATGAGATGGAAAATATGGTACAAATTGAAATAATATGGTCATAATTATATCCACTTTGAAAAAGCAGAAAATAAAACTGATAACTTCATTGGTTGCATCTCTATAACATGCAACAGAAGTAACTCCACATAACTCTCAATTCCATGAAACACAATCCTAGATAAAAAGGAGAATTAACTGAGAATGTCATAAAAATGTATAATTTTTTTTATTAACCTACATCTACTACTCGTATATCCAGCATAGCATATGCATGAGTTGGAACTAATCCAGAACGTTCACTGTCTTCATCAGATAATTGTCCAGTCGCTATAGTAACTAAACAATGACCTTGGTGAAATCGACTTAAAAGACGACGAAATTCTTTGTCTTTATCAAAAACAGATGAACTAGATCGGATGGATATACGTTCTGGAATCCAACCAGTTAAAGCATGTAAATCAATATTCTGAAGATTGAAAAGAAGCAACAAAAAAAAACAAAACAAAAAAAGATAACTAATCTTTCATTCTGTAAGTAAAGAATAGTTGAGATATGATCAAAAAGTGATTGTGTTTTATGTCACGATCCAAATGATAAGAGGCTTTAACACTAAGCACTATCCAACTTGATGGCCACACACTGAACTATGAATAAGTGATTATGACCAAAACACAACAGGCATGTAAGTTAACATACAGTTATTTGTTTAAGTGTAAATGGTCGACTGGGTTTACCTGCATCCCCAATGCATGATGGTGCTCCCACTAGTCTGATCGATAGCGCTTTGGTCTTTGAAACGATAGGTGGTGAGTTGAAATCTCAGTGGGGGCGATATCACTCACTGGAAATATAGGTACATCCAGCCAACGAGTCCCAAATAGGGCGAAATGCGCATCTTAGACTCCAGGGTTAGCCATCATCAGGTATTATTGAAAAATCCATACTAAGAGGGGCCAATATGCCAATAACCATAAGGAAACGTGAATTAACTCAAACGAACATCATTCAACTGCTTATTTATTCTCAGTTCATCTCATGTTCTTATTGACCACACATTTTTATACACATTTAAATGATAATCAAAACTAACAGACCATTATAATTCCATCTTGTAAATGTACCACCATACAGTTTCTCATATAATTTGAAATTCGCCCTTACCAGCCTATTGTATGCTAACATTAATGAATTTATAAGCGTCGAGCCTGAAGAAGAATTGATTAAAAACAATAGTTTTCCACCTTAATTATTCTTTTTGCCAATAAATTATGGGGATATTCAAATTATAATTTGTTTCAATCGTTTTATTTCCAACTTTACCCAACTTCCATTTTTACAGACATTTGACAAAGTGAGATTCAGGATAGAACTTTGCACAAAAGTGTAGGAGTTAAAGTTGCTACACACCATGTAGCACACAGATGCAGATAAATGAGGGAGAAAAGGAGATTGAAAAGAACTATTATGAATAGAAACGTGTGGAAGAAAGAATGGTAACATGGAGCAGCATGACGGTTTAGTGGATATGGCAGGTCACAGAGACTGAATATATCTGCATCACTGAGAACGATTTTGAGCCATATCACCAGTAGTCTCAAGGCATTGGTTCTTAGCATCCCAAGGACCCCCAGCTACACAGCCTACACCTTACTATGTGACTCAAACTAACTACCGAAGACCTTTACATGTATTTAAAATAATCAAGCCTTGGAAATATTGCATCCGAATATTTTCTATGAACCAAGCTCTACACTTCTCTTAAATAATGATAATAACAGTTGTGTAGTCCACTGTTACTTGAACACGGCTTACAACAAATAAGATGGTTATTTGATCCTCATTCCGACCAGTGAGGCTACACGTTTGTCAAGTTCAATCCTGTCTTCCTCAATGCAATGAATTTATGCAGAATATTTATTGTGGATATACAAACTGAAATCTCGGTTGACAACCACAAGTTTATGATTAATCGTGGACAGCGCTTATCAGTGTTTTCCAGTCCTCCTAGGTAGACTGAAATTTCCACCAATCCGAGTGTAAGAGCGACACGTCCTCATTCACATTTTCGTTTTTATGAGGAACACCCTCGCCACGTGAAGGTACTCAATAGGACTTACCTGTCAAAGGCTATGAACGCGTAGCCACATGAGAGTATTTCAGGAGGAATACCAAAGTCTATCCCACCCCGGCCGTACCAGGTTTTTGACGGAGTTGTGCTTATAGCCTATCGTTCATCGACGGTTAGTTAGTTAGTTAGTCAGTTGGAACTTAGTTACCCAGGGCAGATTCTGCATGTACAATGCCATGTGAGCTAAACTTGGTGTGTGATGGCCGATGATACCACTTAGTTGCCTAGGCTCAAACAAGTGAATGGTGAGGGAAGATTCGAATTCGGGACCTATCCTGCTGAAAGTCAAGTGCCTAAGTCAGTGGGTTCCATTCCTACCGATCGAAAGTAGACCATTATATTATTATTAATGATCATAATAGTAAAGATAATCCAACCATTATAAGAAAAGATTCACTAAATCACCACTCATGAAAAGAACAAATGAAACTATTAATGAATACTACAAAAGTTTAAATAGTTAAATAAACCTTACCGAATTCGATCCAGGAAAATCATATCCTCCCATCACTTTCATGTACGCCTTCTCTAATAAGGATACCCATAATTCATTATGATTATTAGAAAAACAGCATAAGAGTTTTCCATCTTTTCCCATTGGTAATAAATCGTCTACAATGACCTATATTCATAAAAATTTTCAGTAACAATTTGAAGAAAGATAAATAAATAGATAGTAGTGTAAACAGAAAATAAATATATAGGAAAAAGTTCCACTTACCTAATTGACATCATTTTTCACAACGGATTTTTTTTCCACTGTGGATAAGAATTTAAAAGTTACAGTGTATAACAAAATAGACTAATAAGTCTACAGAACTGTCCACGCTAAACTTGATCACAGTTCATGAAATTTTGTTTTTGATGACTATTCATGATCCAGATGTGATTGGACAAGGATTTCAAAGACGAAACGTATATATATATATATAATTTCGATTATTTCCCTGAAGAAGTTCTAACCAGTTCGCTGAGATTTATACAAACAAGTTGTACGCCTCTAATTTTCACCCAGCGTTCAGTTATTTTGAAACCATTCGGTTAAATCTTGATCAGATTTTCTTACCGATTACAACGTAATTATTGATAATCAGATTTTGAGTTTTGTAGCGATTCTGACTCATGCCAATTTAGATTCCGTCATATGTTAACTTCATTTAGAGAATCAGTAAAAACTAAGAAGCACTGTGAACCGCTGTTTCTTTCATGTTTTGGCACTTCTAAGCAGTACCAGTGCGGTTCACCAGATGAGGGTGAATCAAATGCCCATTGATGTAAGTGATTCACTGTAGCCCCCTATACCGCGAATCGAGATAAAGGCTCAAATTCACGGGTCAATGAATTCCTACTAAGTGGTTGAAGGGTCAACGAGCTGACCACTTAGCCTGAAAGTCCTTGATTTGATCCCCGGAGGGATCATGGGTGAACAACACACCGTCTAGGAGTCTCAAACTAGAATGAAACAGACGTCCGTTACTCACTGGGTTTCAATGGTATTTTATCTATCTAAATGATGTTCGTTTGTGATTAAATTGATATTGACATTATTCACATGCCTTATATAGCTGAAGATCGAAGAATATTTTGGTCAATGCATATTCGTCGTATAAATACTACTCACTGTTAAAATACAACTGTAAGTTCTTGGTAAACAGGGTATTTTACTAAATTCGATGAAGCTTAAGTTTTTTTGGCATATCTACAAACATGGAAGAAAGTAACATATTTACCATGGAAGATTCATTTATTGAAATACATCCTGCTGACATGTGATTATGTTGGATGCAAACAGCGATCAACATTTCAGGAGTATTTTACATCCAAATGACTGATAACACAATCGAAAGATAATGATGATAAAGCAACTGGTATCTAGTGTTTAAAAAAAGATTGATGGTATCCTCACTTTGCTAAGTTATCCATTCAAGCACAATGTATTAATTTTTTCTAAATTCTAGTTTAACTTAATGTTATTTTTATGCATATTAACACGTAGATACGTTTTGAACTGTAGTCTGTTAATAATCTATTTGCACATACCGCTTGTAATTTTGATGTCAATGATTTCATGTTATTTAAAAACCATTAATGTTGTCAATAACAAATATTTTTCAACTATTATGGACATAGAACTGTCGCACTGATGAAGAAGTAATCGAAAAGAATATTCTTTGTTCACTAATCTCAGCTTTTTTGAAATTCTAGCTTATTTTTAATCTTAGGTATCTGAAGAACTCTGTAATGTGTGAGATGCTGTTAGTCTAAAACAAACAAATCAAATACCAGAGATTGCATCACACTATTCACAGTTTGCTATCCCTTGGGACTGGGTGGGAACAGTAGAAGGGTGATACTTCCTTTGAGCTAGCACCTGTCGGTGCATCACGACTCCCTGAGTAGGTGGGGGGGGGGGGTCGGAGATATTGTGACTTAGTGGGTAGAGATGTTATTCGAGGTGGCTGTAAATTTTTGTTTTCCTCTCTTTCAAAGAATGATGAACAGCTCTTTAAAAGTTCTTGATAAGGATCCCTGCCTACTTTTATGGCGTTATTCCTCAGTTATTCTATTTCTTCTCCTTATGTTTTATAGTTTTTACGTGACGCATTTGTTGGTGTCCATATTGTGTTCAAATAAATAAAGAAAATGAGAAGATGCTTTACCATGAAGTTGTTTGTAATATATATATATATATATATATATATATATAACTCGGCAGCCTGATTTATTTACGAAACTATCAACCAAACGATAACAAAAAAACGTGCAAAGCTATACACTATGCTACTGCTGGACTGCTTTGGATGCACAGTTAACTGAAGTGTACATCGGACCGAAGGAGTTAGTTATTTTCAGTGTCCCACTTCTAATTTTAGTCTATAATTAATGTGTGTAATATAATCGTGTTAATACATTTGACTGGAAATAATGGTCTCTAAAAACCAGCTAATTGTATACAGAAAAAGTCTTTTATCTACTGCCATGTCATGAATAAGAATGTGCCTATTTTGTTGTCTTCAAGCCGCTAACTCCTACATCCAATACTTAAAGCGATGTATGAAGGAAATTACAGACAGATGGCTTGCATAAAGGAACTCACGATATCTTTCAACTTTCAAAACTGTATGCTTAATACTTCAATAGGTTATGTCTTCTCATTCCTTTGCATTCTGAGTAGAATATAGAACTTCAAGCTTTGAAATTTCAGTAGCGATGGTATTATTTTTTTCACGGAGTAGGGCTGTTAGACTCGTGCTCAACCTTCACTCTTTACCTACTACTTTTCATCAATTGAGAGAGATTTAACAGGGTGTCGACCAGGAATCTAACTCTGACCAAATGAATGATTGGTAAGCATCCATAAGATAACTTGGTCACATTTTCGATGTACGAATCTAAAATATTTCAAGATTTGAAGAGTGCTCTAATCAAAACTCAAAAATCAACAATAGAAATAATATTATTTTTGGAGAGAATTTGTTTACATACTTTACGAGGAACACCATTGAAATTTAGGCGTATCATGTATTTCCCACATGGATTGTAAACAGCTTCGCCATTTTTGCCTTGAGGATAAATAACACTTTAGAAAAAAGACGAAAGATTAAATGTTAATTGGACTATATTCAAGTCATATAAATTGTAAGACATAACCAAATTAATCAAAATTTTATCCGTGAATAATTACAATAATGATGATGAACATTATTTTTGAAACAGTGTAAAAATCTCAGCATGTAGCATAGTATTACATGGTAGCACTCCAAAAAACGATAGCAACTCGTACGAAAGACTGATACGATTGGTCATATTCCCTACATATATGAGATTACTGTTTTTACTCAATTACTTCAAAACAGGCTGTGAGCCACACAGACATAGTGTGAGGGCTGATAGCACTACCCAGCTGCTCGTACTGAAGTGGGTGAAGTGTGATTCGAATCCAGTACTATTGGGTGAAAGAGCAGTGTTCATGCCAATAAGCCACGAGACTAATAACTGAGGTTCAACGTAGAACTTTACACAGAAGTGCAGTAGTTCGAATCGTCACATTTCATGTGACGCACAAAGGTAGAAAAAAGAGACTCAAAAGAACTACAATGAGCAGAAATTTGCAGGAGACTGATAAGCATAGTGATACAGAAATTTTACGTTATTAGTTAACTCTAAAATATATTTCAAAGTTTTGCACATTTTCTATTTATACGACTGATCTCTTACGATTAAACTGTTGACTGGTTACTTCCACAAAGACTTGTATTTAATCGACTGAATTGCTTAAAAGATATATTAGTAATTTGTGAAGCTGCACCGATTGAGATGGCTAGAACATGTATTACATATACCAAACCATCACTTTCTAAGTCGAGTAATGTTAGCAGACATACGACTGGGTTGGAAAAGAGTTACGGGTGGCTAAACCAAAACATGGTGTATCAGTCGGTGAAGTCTTTAACTGTTAGTCTGAGGAGTCAGCCATGTAGGGAGGTGTGGAACGCGTACTTGGGGTCATTAAGACGGCAAAAAATTAATAGCTGGAGACTATTGATGACATGGGTTAAAATCGTTCTCAGTGGTGTGGGTGTATTCACTATTTGTGATCTTCCAGATCCCTTGAATCCACACTATACTCCGTGTAATTATTCTTTATGTCACACATTTCTGTTAATTATGATTTCATTGCATTTAATATCAATGAAAAGTATATGCATTGTGCTATAGATGAATTAATTATAATTATATATTTCAACGGTTGTTTATGTACAATGGTAGGTTTTTCAGATTTTTGTAGTATTTCGAGCACCGTGAACATATCAACTGTTGGAATTGTTTTTAAGTCAAACATTTATAATTTGTAATATATATATATATATATATATATATATATATATATATATATAGAGAGAGAGAGAGAGAGAGAGAGAGAGATAGAAATTCGTAGTCGAAATCTTACTAAAATCAAAAACTTATCATTGTGTATAAACAAACATTGAAATTTACTTATAATTAATTGTTTGCATTTGCTTATTTCTCTCTAACTTCATGTGTAGTTTGATAAAGGGTGACAACCTGAATTGCTGCCCTTTTGTGCTAAGCAATTGTGCCAACCAGTTCAGTTCATGATGGTAGTACTTTGAAGTGAACAACGCTTTGTATCACTTATTTACCGTATACAATCGTATTGGTTCCATATAAGTGGTATTACAATTTAAGAGGCTGAGACTTCAAAATAATGCATATTTATACTGATAGCAGTTAAAGAACCACTGAAAACCAGAGAGTACTGGATAGTTGTTTTGTCCTGGTTTAGGACCCGTCAGCAGTACTGTCCCTGATTTTCAATGGTTCCCTAACTGATATCAGTCTGTGAGAAAACTTGAAACAAATTAAATCACTACAAACTAACTCTTGAAAAGTTTCTTAAATATTCAAAGTATAATAACTTCCAATAGGAAATGGAATAATTACACTAAAGTATGTCGAAACAAATGTAATAAAGGCAAAAATAAAAGACAGCATAATGCTTACTTTGTGATCAGTTTTTTTTTAAAACGTCTTTCATATTGAGCAGCAATAGCTATCGAGGCAACAAATGAACAATCAGTAACGACTGTTTGACATATTGAAAAACATGATATAGCCAAAATCATCTTTGGTTGATCAATATATTCAGAAGGACGAACCCAACGGCTTAATAAAGATGTCTGCTTGCTAGATAACGCTAGAAGGCCATCTTTATCACTTGTTGTTTTTGAATTATAATTGTAAAAACATAATACATTTTAACAGAAAATCAAGTGATATCAAGATGAAAACTATTCATTCATTAAATTGAAGGTATATAAGGAAGTTAGTGAAACAAGTAATAATAACAATAATAACATGAATGAACAATAATGATAATTACTGAACGCATTTATCCAGTACAGAATTTTCACATATTGGGTTATGTAGTATGCTTTATATGAGAGGGCTATTTGGTTGCTCAGGCACAATTTGGTGGGGTAAATTGTGAACTTGGGAACAATTGGTCGAGTCACGTGTTTGAACGTAAGCGAGGCACAACTCCTCTACAGGAGCATACAAATACAAATCACGTAAATCAGACACACAATGGAGATTAACCCATAACTGTTTCATTTTATTTGTAGTGTTGGCCGAATTTTTAAGATGGTTGTTAAGCTGAAGAAAACTCTCCATGGTACAGCATTTTGAATCCGTGTTGGATGATTGTAACTTATTCGCTATCATTTGATGAACGGTAATACGTATCCAATTTACTGTCTATTGCTTTTAATTAAATATTATAGTAACCCATGGATTATAACTTAGATGTTATCTATTAAATATCACTGTATCACAAAGGTGCATTAAATTTCCAAGTTGAGAGGTTTGTAGTGAACCACAACGATCAGCAACTATAATCATATTGGAAAATTAAACCTGCTGTATACTATATTATGAATCTATAATCTTAGTTAGAAATTTAACCACTGCTTGGAAAAGTGAAATCAAGTAATGAGATATTACATGCACGTTGGATGTCTTGTTTTGTGCTGTTTAAAACACACAAAGATAATACCTGGTTTGTCTATCTTAATAGCACTTTTACGTTAAATAAACCAGGTTATCTTATAAGATCAATAGTTGATTTTAGAAATACCCCTGCTTATGAGTTATATAAACACTCAGAATTAATATTACTTCACATCGTGAATTCGGTCAAACTCTAGATTCACTCAGTTATATGGAATGAAAGGAAGTTAGATGACATTCAAATAGAAGATAATGAAAAAAGGGTTACTTTTGAAATAAAAGCTGGTCTTTATATTAATATGCCGGTAAGTATGGTTTTGGAGGAAGAAGACATAAAGTTACCTCATCCATTATCTCTAAAGGCAGGCTTTGTTAGGTGTATAACAATCCAGGCGAAAACTCGGAGTAATACGTGAGAAAACTTAACGAAATGAAACAGATAGACGAAGCATTGGTGCTAAATAATTACTCCCTAAAATTCACTAAGACAACCGAGAAAGCTCAAAATAAAAAAAAACAGCATTGACAGTATTGCCAATACCATAAATAAGGAATTTTCGGCATCTACAGCTTTACCCAAATATGAAGGGACATCTGAAACTTCATGTAGAATTCTTAGTAAATTAGGATGGCATCTAAACCTACAAACTCACTCATAGACACACTCTACTGACCCTATTAAACAAAACAATTTAACCAACAAATGACTGTGAGGTGAGCTATATACGTTGGACCAGTAGTCAGGTTATTATTCAGCTAAAGAGTTCAGCTAAACGTAGAATGATTGATCACATGAAGATGAATAGCTTGGAGAAAAACTTAGCAGTTATAATGCATGCACCAACACATAAATCATACAATGGAGTGCGACAGAGTTACAGTCCTAAAAAAGTAATATAGACAGATGGGGGAGAAGTTGATGACTGAATCTTTGTTCATCGAATCTATACCTAACACGCGTAGTAGGAATGAACAACGCTATTGAATAAGAAATAATGGAATTATATAAACAAAGTTTGAAAGTTATATCTGTGCTTTGATATGACAATGAGCAATAAATACTTCTAAGTCTACTTAACACTTTTCACTATATCGCAAAGGATTAAATCTTAATTACATTGAATTTTAAAAATTATACTTTGGGATAGGGAAAGAAACGTATTGTTAAATAGTTAACTATGATATTTTAAATCATGACATACACAAAAGGAGTTGCGAATGAAAATCGTTCACGTAGATCAATTGAATCCAAAAACGGTAGGTACTCACGACCATTAATTATAGATGTTGCTTTTAAAACCTTTAATTCCTCCAGAGAAAAGCCACCTGGGCCTATGAAGAAATGAAATAAAATTGGCAGATCAACAGTACCTTCCCAAAGTTTTCCGTTCTTATAGTTATTCAATTATGCTTCAAAAGAAGTTACAATTTTAAATAGTCACTTTTGAATTGAGGCTTAAGTTTATTAGGTCAGTTGTCTCAATTAACTTTTTCAATGCCTTTTTATACTGAGACCACGATTTGTGTATCTTACATAAGGACCAATAACTAGTATCCTAGCACTGATCCTATGTGTCATTTTTACCTGATACGTTGTACAAGAATGAGTAATTTTAAGTAGTACAAACTTTCTCGCCCTTGCAATACTACATGGCATTTGTCTTCTATTGTAAAAGCTGATGGATTGATGTGTATGAACAACTAAAGTGTAACTGCAGGCGTATTAAGCCGTCCCTTAATAAAAAAACCTATCCAACACTTCAACTACACGATTTTAGAGAAATATTTAATTCACGATAGCTTAAATGACCATCATCAGACGGTCACATAATAATGATACCAGCTCTAACGGTTTTGGTTTCATAATAGCAGTCCGAGCTGGAAGGAAAACTTGGGTCATAGTACGAACTGAATGAACAGTTTCACTCTTTTCACTGAGTTTTACTCTTGGCTATTACTGTTTTCTTTCCTTTTTTAATTTTGAGGGGCTTGAAGAGAATTTTTGTGTATCAACTAGTTCACATTAAAATTAATTAATTAATTGCCTTCTAATAACATGTAAGTGTAAATTATTTACTGTCATTACTAGAGTTTCCACAATGAGTTATGTAAATCGCTGTTACTTTATAATAACCATTGATGGAACAGTGAAAATTTATACATTTAACTCTACATTTCATAGGACAATAGTTAACTACAATTCGAACCCTGAAATTCACACCATTATTACATCAAGCACTGAACAATAAATAGATACAGTGACTTCAGTAAACTTAGACCCCAACTGATTGTAATTAGATTCTATATTTATTACAAAACAACGAGAAGTATTACGTTCAATAAAATTTTTGAAAATACAACTTACCTGTCCTGGGAAAAGCAGGTGGTCTTCTGGGCGCAGCCATTTTCTGCGAAGCAGAATTACTGTACGTAGATCCAGTATCGAAATGTAAAGTTTGTGCTTCGTTTACACGTAATTTCAAAATCTCAGCACTAGAGAGCTGAAATTTATTAAATAATTTCGCAATACCGATCTAAACCCTCTTTGGCAAACTTCTGAATTTGCTGGAGCATATAACCATCACCGACGTCTTTTTTCTGTATGTAAATAGTCAGCTAATTTCTAAGAGTTTTACCAGGGATAAAAGTAATTCTACAGCCAACGTATAAAGTTCGATTGCTTCAGAAATGTTCCCTTTCTCATCTTCAGATACGGCATCATTCAGTAAACAACGCGCTCTCGCTAAGTCAGCCTAACGCAAGAATTAACCAAAAGTATGATCAAACTTTGCTTTTCTTGATGTTAGTATCTATTGCTGGAACATTTTCCATAGCAATTTTTGACTTCAGCTCTTTAACTTTATCGCTGTACTGTTGAGCTAACTCTAGTAAGCCTTCAGTAGTAGAACCGGCCTCAAGGGAATTCAACAAAGCTTGAGCAGCTTCCTGAAAATAACAGTGAAATCACTAGTTACTGTGTAAAAGAAAGCAGCTGATCCGTAGTGCCCTTCAGACTCTTGTTCTACTGCAAGTTTCTTGAACAACTCAGCATCTTTTTCCAACTCAACTGAATTGGCCATTTCAGACTATAATGAATAGCTTAAAGGCGTTCTTTGAAAGGCGTCAGTTAGCAATTAATTGATACTACCACTGTCTATTATTTTAGTACACAAAGATCTAAGCAAGAGGAGAAAGCAAATAAGATGTATTATTAGGAATGCGAAACGTAGTAAATTAAAATTTGTAACATCAGACAATTATTTCGACTTATCAAGGAAAAAGGTGGCAAAAGGCAAATGATAAGACAATATCCAAAAAGGTGGTGCCCTAATTTAGCTCTCAAGACAGACGATTGGAACGCTGCAGGGAACATTGTGAGGAGCAGTTTAACTGGCCTACAGCCACGCTCAACTTACCCAGCACCCAATACTTAACTGAATGGTAAATAGACATCGGTCCCTCATATGTAACTGAGGTTACAATGACTGTCTCTGACTTGAAACAAAGCAAAGCAGCAGGTCTTGATTTGTTTAAGGATAGTGGTGACAAATTGCTGTCTGGGCTAAGGCGTTAGGCAACGCTGGGAATGAGAGAGAGTCCTGTTGGATTGGTGTAAGCCATTGATTATCCTGATATGCAAGTGGAGACAAGTCTTCCTGTGATAATCACAGGGGGATTAGCTTGACCAATATGGTACTTAAAGTTTTAGGCTGAAAAATAATGCGTAGATGGGCTTTAGACCAGGAAGAGGGTGAATTGATCATATCGTCACCCTTCGACAGATTCTAGGACCGAAAACAGGCATACTTACCGGCATTCAACAAGCGCCACATAGATTTTTGTCAATTGTGGTATCAGTCCGTTTCTTTGCTCTTACTCCGTATGCTTTTTGGACTAAGAAAGCAGTATAAGTTTTGATATTTTGTCAGTTAGCATATGACTATAAATTATTCATATCTTTGTCAAACTGTAGATGCAATTGTATATTGTATTCAGTGTTTTGAAATTTTAAAACCTATTTAGAGCCATAAAGTTTTACACCCTTATACCCTTTAAAATTTGTAGGTTCGAAAGGCATCCATATTAAATGTGTATTATTTGTGAACAGTAAATAAGGTAATATCAAAATACATTATATATTGTGATGTTTTTTATATAATGATAATTTATTTGCAATTGGAAAAGCTGATGTTGAAGTAACAGGGGAGAGGTTAGCACTTCTGAAGAGAACCGAGAAAAACAACAAAAGTGAGTAGTATGACTTCTATTATTTGAAAATGGAGGAATGATCAAAAGGTTTACTACGTTACTAACGTTGATAACACGTCCTAATCAACATTCCACCCAATCTCACTAGTCGTATTCACTGGAGTTACATTTGTAAAACAGGTTTAGTTCTATAACCACAATGTGAGCACAAAACTTCGTACAATGATTACAGAAGCAAGATATTTAGTTGTCACGATCACAATTTGTCCATATTAACCCATCTTAAAGGTGCATTAGGCAGATGCTCACTGACTGAAGTAAATTTGTATGCATATAATCAAGTTACTAACTATTGTATTTTTCACAATACATTTACTTTATTATCGCTAAATACACTTAATTATTGTTCCCCAGCATATAACGCATTTTACTGCACCCAACGACGAGTCAAGTCTACTGATGCTACCTGGCAGAACAGTAGATCCAGTGGACTTCAAAGCCGTGATCTACTTAAGTCGAACAGGAAATATTCTCATACGCGGAGTCCAAGAGGAAAAAAGAAAAACTCAAGAAAATGTGAGAAGAGCAATAAGCCAATAAAATACAGAAGGAGGATTGCTGGAGACATTTAAAGTGAGAGAGATTTGAAATTTGATTCATTTCGTATCATCGTAAATGGAAGATAACACTTTCCAAGAATGTTGACAGGGCTTGGAGAGATATGGGTAAATTCCTGCAACTTTCGAAAGGTGATACAAACCACTCGTGTGGGAAACATTTCGATACTAAACTTTTAGATAAAAAAAACTCAGAAACCCAATCAAACGAATAAAATTTAGTCCAATATTGCCGCAGTCAGTTTGAAAATGGTTAACTATTGTTTATAGTTTCTCTCTGTACTTCTCCAAAACGTTTTAATCAACTACTCACTGAGCAAATCAGGGAATGTAGTATAACTTGCTTCGTTTGCGTTTTTAGATAGACGCACCAAAAAACATGAACTGAGTTCAGATACTCCTTGCTTCACCAGATTATTTATATACATTTTCGTATACAAGACTAGACTTTCATGCGACTTTTTTAGGCTATTTGTTCAGCCTACCAGCAAACCCCAAAACTAAGTTCATACCTGAGTAACGCATCTGTTAAATTGTACTCCAACATTCAACATCCTTCCTGCAAACTAGTATAATTTCTTTGAGCACTCTTCTTGGTAGTGTGGTAGCAATTTCTGCACAGTTTGTCACTCTGCTCTTCTTCCATAGCTTGACAGACTATGAAGGAGTGGTTTATCAGCTGTACATAATATTTATAGTGTTTAGACCATAGCACTATTGTGAATCGAGTTACTCCTTTCATCTGTCAGTTGTCCAGTGGATTTGAAAAGACAGATATGCCTTGAAAAGGATCAAGCAAGTGGATATTTTTAAAAGTCAATTTGAGTGAGACAAGAGAGACTGTCCTAGACGAAAGGAAAGTGTAGTTGAAACTTAGGAAAGAGGGCAGTATGCAAGGATTACAGCTCATTTTCATTCAACATCCAACTGTGTGCATTCCGCTTGCTGGTGTACGGTTATAGGATATCCACTTTTAGCTTTCCTGAGGAGGCTCAGTATCCTTGGGAACTTGTTGAAAATTCCGAAGATGGCTAACTCCAAACGAACAGTCTAACACTGGGACATAGCGTATTTCTCGGAAGACAGCTGACAGAGTTTCAACACCTAACGCGTATATTAATATCTTTATTGATCACATATGGCGAATCACCCTGAATAACACCTCATAGACCTGCCTAATGCCTTCGGGTGATCCAAAGATAGTGTCTAAAAACATGTATGCTGATGATAGTCACGGAGTATTTTATCAAGATGTTGTCCGTGCACTCAGAGTTTACGTATTATCCTCGTAAACACTAGATGAATTCTAAACAAACACTAAGTAAATTAGTTTCTTTATGCAGACCGTCACTGATTGTGACCACTGAAGCCCGGTGAGCAACTGAAATCTCTAGTGGCAGCCTAAGAATTGATAATTACAACCTTTTTTGAGGGGACAGAGACAGACCGTGGGGCTGAGTACCAATTTGCATTGAATGATCCGTTTGTGAAACTCAGTTCAGTTACCCAATTCTGTCGCAGTCCAATGACTCAATCTGGATCGAAATAAAAGTCGGTAGAACTAAACATATATGTATGGGTTGCGTAAACCGCTCCTCGTCATCGACAAGGGATGTGATAACATACTCAGCAGCATTTTTACCGGTGCAGCCAGTCTCCCCTTCAGTTAAAAGGTGGTTTCAGCGTGACAGAGGTATCATGGCTTTCATTTCGAGGACCTCCAAGATATGTTATTCTTCCGAGTTCCATTGTCACAGGACGGTGGATACAACACAAATATTCAACCACTATATCCGTGAATGTCCTAGATATAGGACATGAATTTCCGCGTAGAGACCATAAAATGGTGGTGTGTTCTTATAACGCCTTTCTTGAAAGCATTAGCAGAGATGAAGCTGGTTAGATATCCAAGTGATTATAAACACATGGCGACTGAAACTTGTATAAGAACCTGATTAGGTGCTCTAAGTGGGACTCATACTTTTCGAATGAGTCCTTAGGGGCAGTTCTTAATAATTTCTATCACAATATAAGCGGTTTTCTTGATGTCATTGCACCTGAAAAGATGCTTAGCTTAAATTCCCCCCAAAGCGATTATATTCCGACGCCACTAAGAAGTCTACAGAAGCATTTAATAAAATACTGCAGATATCGTGAATTATAATCATCAATCGCTACTACAACCCTTCTCACTAGAATCCAACAGTTAAAAAATACTAGCCTCAGAAACAAAGAAATATGGGCTATTCAGCCACCGCATAACCCAGGAGAAATAGCGAAACTTTTCAAAAGTAGGTTAAAAACTCCAAAACATCTTATCCGAAAATAATGTACATAGACGGCACTGCTTATGAGAATACCGAAGTGATAGGTGATCTGTTTAGCAAGCACTTTGCAAGGCTATAAACCTTGGAGAACGATCAGGTCGTGGATTTCCCACGTAAAACTGACGAATATCTAAGTGACATACTTTTCTTCACACAAGAGATCGATGAAGCTTTCGCAAATCTTAAGCTTGCTAGCACTATTGATCCAGACTGAATATCTTTATTCTGCTGAAAAACGGTGGTAATGACATGAGTTTACTCCTATTCCGGTTTTACTCAATTTCACTAAGCGATGGGGCATACTCTACCCGCTGAAAGAAGTGTTGTATTGTACCTATCCATAAACGGAGGCCTTTAGGTGATATCAACAACTACTGCCCCATCAACATTACATCTGTAGTTTCACGTGCAGTGGAAAAGATAGTAAAGACCCAAATCATTCAGCACTTGCTCTCAAAAAACCTACTATCACAATCCTAATGCGGTTTCTTAAGTAGAGGGTCGTGCATTACTTGCCACTTAGATTATTTTAACCACATTACACGATGCATAGATTATGGGCATTTAGTGGCGACATTATTTCTCAACGTTAGCAAAGCCTCTGATAAAGTATCACATATTAGATTCCTAACAAAACTCCAATCCTACGGAATAACTGGAAAGCTTCTCAAATGGATAAATTCCTTTCTCACATAAAGAGAGCCGTTGTTCAAAGTCAACCACGTGCTGTCTTCACAAAAGCCGATAGCTAGTGATGTAATACAAGGAAGCGTTCTTAGCCCTATTCTATTCCTATTATTCATAAATGACAGTCTCTGTAATAGGGTAGAAAAAGTCATACCTCTTTGCAGATGCTCTCAAGATAGTACATGATATAGAGTACGACGACATGAGCGCTGGAAGTAGAATCTAACACGATTTGGACAG